TGGATTTTTGATGCCAAAGAATAGAGGAAAAGTAAGGTTTAAAGGAATTTGTAAACATTTCCGTTGTATTTCCAATTTCAATCGGAAATGTGTTGAATTTTGTATAAATTGCCAATCTCAACTCCTCAAAGCATACAATATCTCTTCGAACGCTTTCTGTTTTTTCTAACAATGAAAAATGTAAAAAAAACACTATAGTATTTGTTTTCCTCTCTCGATAAAGCAGATGGCGCGTGTATTTTATTGAGATCTGGTGGATGATTGCTCGAATAATATGCGCAAGCACGAAAAGTGGAGAAAGTGGGAAAAAACGATTCACATCGCAATAGAGTGCTATTATCTGTAGTTCAAGTGTTTTGTCAATTCATTATGTTCGACGTGAACATTGAAAGCATTTTACGTCGATAAGCAAATACAATTGCCAATGTATCTTTTTTTTTGCTTATACGCTGCTGGCTACTGACTCGTGTAGTACGCTTTCGTCAATTATTCTTCTGCTTCGCACAATTTAATTTGCAATATTAGCCGTAAAGTTCATTCAGAAATTTATGATATATATTTGCAACATACAACCAACGACAGCGATATCATCGACGATATATCCGAAGCGATACTTCCTTTGGCATTATGTACATGCTATTCCGGGAATAATAATAACCTCAATTACTCAGTCGCATAAATTATGGTTAATTGCGATCGTTTAATACTTAGCGCCCACGAGCATGCGAAAAGCATAGCAACAATATGAAAACTCGTAGAAATTGAGGAAAGAATGTCGATTAAAGATTAATTTATTAAAGCTTCCAATCGTTCCTACTTCAATACGAATTCAGTTCATCGTCGGAATCGTGTAATAAAAATGAAATTTTGTCAACAGTTTTTGGAATTAAAGAAACGTTTAAAGACTAGTGCCGCGTCTTTGGATAAAACTATTCATCCGTGTTGAGTGGAAAAATTCGAGAGAAGAATATAATTTTATTAGCAAAAACCATTGCGATTGGATCACATTTTGAATTTCTCAAATATTGACTATGGGACACAATATCTTAGCGAATGCCGTTGTGCGCTTGAAATCAGAACGTTTGAAAATGATTTATAATCAAACCGTTTTGCCAAATAATCAATTCGACTGAAAAACTTTTTTTTTCTCAAACTCAAACATACTCGAATTTCAACATGGAAACATTCAAAATGACGTCTCGTCGTTTCAAATTTTATTAGCTTTTGAAAGAATTTGATATCAACCGAAGAACATAGAATAAATCAACAATAAATTTCACGTCTTGAATTCCATTCGAAGGCTCACTCAAAATGTGCTCATTATACGCTCAAAATGAAACCCCTTTATAAAAGAGAGTATACTCTCATATCGCTGACTCGTGCCTCAATTCATGCTGAATAACAATGGCTTTACCTTCCTTCTGTTTGTTTGTTTATTTATTTGCTTCACTGAATATGTTCCTATTACGATTTTAAGACGGGTGGTTTATTTAACCCCAGCCGCGCAATTCCAATACAAGTCAGAATCACTTTGCTCGTTCTTTGTTTGAAATCTATCGCAGACAACAAAGATGAAACAAATAAATTCACACAAACTTAGGAAAAACCGGCACGTGAACAAATACGGATTTTATGCGCAATTTCGATTGCACTCATCAAGAGAAACTCTGTAAGAGGTTTTCAGTAAAGATTTTAATGAAAACTAGTGCCAAAAGTCGAAGCAATTGATTCAGATTTTCAAGCCAAAAAGAAAATATTTGATTTATTTTTGGTCGAAAAATATTACCTGTATAAAAAAAGACATGAGCTTCGAGTACAAAATCAAGACAGCGACGTTTCACACGCGCATCATTGATTTCTTTCAGATACAATGAGTATAGGGTTTTTCGAATTTAATATAATGAAAAGCTAGGGAGCAGACACGTGGAATAGGACTTTTAGTGTAAAGATTCGAGAAATAGCGATGTCTGTGGATGGATTCGCGTGGAATAGCGAAACAGTGCATGGAATAGGAAAAATAGTTTCGATTTCACATTTGTGTTTTTTGATTAGTGAAATAGCTGGATTAGTAATTTATATAGTGGATTCGGAATTTATTCTTTGGGATGAGCCCCTAGATGAAAAGTATCTTTACGATGTAGGTTGATAGAATCACCAATTTTATTCTTGGAAAAATGCAGATAAATGCCTCTTATATGACTTACATGTCAAACAAAACATCAAGTAAACACGTTATCTGCCTACCACTTTTATTCACACCACATCGACGTATACCGTCTATTAGCATACGTTTGCCTGGCGTGCTGAATCTATTTGTCCAATTTGTATTTAGATCGCTGAAATAACGTTTTGTTATCGCAAATATTTACCGATTTGAAATAATAGCGTTTGACAAGTTGATCGAGACAAATCGATGTATTTTTAAAAAAAGAAAAACTAAAAGCGATTTGCTACCTCCACTATCCATCATTCGACGTAATTTAGTCACTTTGAAATGACATCACGATCGGGTCAACACAATTTCAAATGAAATAAAAACAAGTTTGTTTGATTTTCCACGAGGAATTCCAAACATTATAACCATTACACATTCATATTTAGAAATGAAATCGTAATTTTCCATGTTTTTCCGAATAAACATCTAGAGAGTTCGTCTCACATTTAATCCAATGTGTATCGCCCAAAAACTTTCCTATTTAGCTTTTTACGTGTATTTTCCAAGAGATATGTCGCGTTTTATATGTTTTTTTTTTCAAATGCATTTTGTTTGTTCTTATTCATCTCTGGGGATGCTTGTATATACACATTTTTTATATCACATTCATCGGTGAATTCATCATATAAAGTGTTTTTCATTTCTCTTTTTTTCACGTCGATCGTCTTTCAATAAAGAATATTTCAGTGGGTCGGATTGACTTCGGATAGATTTCTCAGGTGGATCTTTGTTTGACGTCATTTGCTCGATTTCCGAAAATGAGAGTTTATTTTTCGAAGAAAATTCTGTCGTTTATATTTTTGCACAGAAATTATTTGAAAAATAAGGAAAAAAGTGTCGCTTTGGTTGAAAGCCACCGCTGGGAATAAAGTTAAAAAAAATTATCGAACCAATGGAAAACCGGTTGAAGTAGACACACAGTAAAATATGGAATTAAAATCAAGGATGGGGAATTTCATTGTTGTGGAACGACCAAAATTAATATTTATATGGTTACAATATATTCTCATTATATGTACGCCAAAGTTTGAAAATGTCATTACTAAGAGACTGAAAAGGGATGCGCTAAACATTGACGATCAAAATACATACACGATATTATTGTTATATATGACTGAACCGCCAACTCAACAGTTAAATTTCTAGATAATTATTGTTAGCTGTGCTTTTGCGGCAACCACAATTTCATATTTCTCTCTCTCTCTCTCGGTCTGCATTGAAATTCATCCAAAGAGCGGAACAGTGAAACGTACGTCAGTGTATCTAATAAATTTTCGTATTTTATATGAAATTTTACTGTTTATACATATATTTATGTGTCTTTCTGAAACAATATAAATTTCAAAATGATTGTTTTTGCCTGTGATGCTATCGGGAGACCTTTTGTTACCTCTCTATTAATATGAAGCACCAATGTTGCAATTTCCTTTGTCAATTTATACGACAACATAATTTCCATGTAGTAGAGTTAAAATACACACATTTTATATGCGATCATAAAAAAACTGAAACCCCCAACGATGAAGACGGCGGCAATGACGACGATAGCGGCAATATCAACGATGACAATAAGATATGCGATGGAATCGTCGAGAATGTAGCATACACCGATGCAAACGCGTCCAAGTAAATTATGCGAAGATGCTTTTGATCTGGGTCTTCGAATCGAATTGTGTTGTTTGTCAAAAACTTTCACCCCATCGTATTCATATGACGTCATTTGCCGAATGTTATGATTTTAAAGCGAATAAACTTGTTTGTGGATAATAACAAGTGCGTCATTACTGAGATGCGCATGAAAAACGGGATGAAAAAACATTGTTTCACTGTGGTATATGCAATTTCATCAAACAAAAACAATACGAAATGTGCTTTTACTTCCATTGCGAAAGCTAAGGGATTTTTGGTTGCGCTACATGGAGGCGTAAAAATATCTTTTATCTATTTACCACACATATCGACTGAGCATTACTGAAAATGTCGATTATGATTCAGAGTGACAAAACAAGTTTCGGGAATGTGATTTTAAAAAATTGTCACGATTTCAATGGTATAGCCACGATATCGTTGTCATAAACGAACGGCATTCCTTTGGCAGCGTGTTGATAAATATTTTTCGGTTGGGTGTTTTTTCCATTGCAACAACAATGGCCTGTGCTTCGTTGGTATTTTGATAAGCATCTTATTGAAATGTGCTTACACTTTTATTGGGTATGACTTTGACAATGTATCTTTGTCTAAAATCGGTCAACGCCCCAGACTCTAAGCGTATTATGATGCAAATTGAGACATGCCGAATGTTCGAATTGCAATTCAAATTTATAAATACTCGAAATTATGTTGAATAAAGCGTTGAAGCTCCTAATCAAACTCTTGGTGATACTTTCATTCTATTACCATCGGTAAAATGTTCAAGTGCAAATAATGCCATTGGCGCAATTTATCTAAATAAAGAAAATTCTGACCGAGGTCAGGTAAATACAACAAAAAAGTTACAACTTTATTTCTCGTGAATAGCACAATACTAACTTTGTTGATTTGGGTCTATAGTATGTCTATTGTGTGTTTGAGTTTATGGATTTACTTTGGATCAACTTATCAATTATTCGAGTCAAAATTTGATGCGTCGAGACCATCTTCGATATAAAGTGGTGAAAAAAAACATTTTCTCTCCATATTTCCTTCTTAGAAAGGATAAGAAATATACATGTTCAATTCATTATGTTTTTTTTTTTGTTTTCTTCTTTTTTCCTATTCATGTTTGTTCGTGTCGACGCTGGATTAGCTCGAAGTTTTTGATGAAATCGATTTGCTGAATTTATGCTTATGTGAGTGCAGCACGAAAAACCAAAACCACAGTTTCCAGGTAATCATTTTATTTATGGTCTACAAGCACAAGCGTTACATTAGAATAAGGAGTGAATTGTTATTTGGTTCCCAAACAGTTTGATAAAAGTAATTTTGAGTTTTTTCTAACACGAAATTTTATCAGCATGTCATGTAAGTCTAACATCTGAAAGGCTATTCATATGCCAACAGTTTTGTGTAATAAATTGCAATAAAAAGGAAAAAAAAATGAAACCAGTTATGTACTTTTAGGAAAAGATTTTTTTCCTCTCAATCTTCGGTTCGTTTGACCGAAGTGAAAAAAATTGGATCAAAATATACGGATTGTAGCATTGATTTTGACATGAGAATACAAAATAAATATTTTCGCAGTTGATGTTGACAATATATCTTGAAATGTGCTTTATTTGTTGTAACATTGACGTCAATCAAAAATGTAAATATATAAAAGTAAGCTTGAGATGCCATGAAACTCAAAAAGTGACAACTATTCATCGAAATCATGCATCTCGTAAAGCATGACACAACCAAACTTCGTTACTGACGCAGAAAGGCCAAATATTTGATTGCATTTCTGTATGTGAAAATCAGGCGATAAATTCTGTGAAACTAAATGGAAATGTGCAAAATGTCGTTTGTGTAGCATACTCCGTGTAGTGTTTGCGACACATTCATGCAAAATCGCTTTTTATTTCAAAATAAACAGAATGTTTTTCGCACAAGTGAACATATAAGTTCCATCATTTACAACACATAAGCGCAATGCAGACAATCAGTTCCGCGCTTTTTATTATCGAGCATAATCTCATTGGTTTTTACTATGAATATCACGCAATTTCTAGTTCGCTCTTTCTATCTTTCCATCACAAGTGTAAGTCGATTGTCGGGCAAACGGAAATGAGTTTTCTTCTTCTTATTCAACTTCCTTGCCATTTTATGAGCTGTAATAACACAGTCGTACACATTTCGCATTCATTTGCTGCAATGTAACGGAAATATTTCTTACATACATTGGGATTGAACGTTGTACTTTTACATGGTAATAAAGTTTATGAACAATTTATTGCTCCGTCAATAAATAAATGCAAGAGAAGTAAAGTGCGGAATCTAGTGATTCGGTTTAATGATAGAGAACATAGATATTAAGTTAAATAGAATGCAGGCCAATGCTTCCTTGAAAAATGCACTGACGTACTTAGACTTTCATCATTTGTAAAACGATGTCTATAAATAAACTCGAACTGGATGCGAGTTGGTGTATCAGTTACATGCCTCGTTATCGAGAGCTTTGACTCATGAATAGATTCTGTTATCCGTATTGCGAATCAACCGTGTATACCAGTATCATTTTCCATTTGGATGATGTGCTGAATGAATGAGGCCACAAGAATCGCATCTCTTGTTGAGTCATCGCATTTCATACATTTTTTTTTTGTTTTTCCTTTCTTATGCATTATTTATTGATCAATTAAATTAATGATTGGCTGAGTCTGCATCAATCGGAAGAGAATAACAATAAACTCTGATAATAATGTTTGTTCAAAAATCAGAAATCACAATTGAAGCGGTATTTTTTTTTGTTTTGACCGTGAAATTATCATGCTAAAAATAAAAATTCAATAGAAAGCGTATGTGCAATGAAATTGGCACACGTTCATGGAAAATATAATCATGAAAACCCCCGGGCCAATGTGCTGAATACATAAATGATGTGTTTTGTTTCGCAAACTAAGCACTTCGTCATGTCCTAAAACAGGAATTGCTTTTTAATTATAAACTTTTTCAACATCCATGTTTTTTGAGCAAGAGAGCAAAATATGTTTTGCAAGCTGTATAGATTACACTGATCTTAAAATGCATCGTTTTCTAAAGCACACTCAAAAAGTTTTTCTGTCCTTTTTACCATCGCAAGAATGTTCTTAAGTCCCTTATATAAAAAAGAACACTTCGAACAAAGTGGAAAATCTTCTTACAAAACTTTCTCATTGAAAGTGTGTAGTCAAGTGAAGGAAAAACTTAAATGAATTAGAATGAAATGGATTAATTTAAGAATGGCCGTTGGCGGCGTGTGTGTGTTTGTGTAATTTCATGGGTTATTCGATTTGGCAAAGAGATTCCTTAACTGATGGGATCAACTTATCGGATTGATGAATTAGTTGGAGTGGAAAACACTAAAGTATTTTCAGCGGTTATCAAAGTGCACTTATCGACAACGATTTCCACATAAGATGGATGATTCGTTGAAGCCATAAAAAGTCAATATGTAATCTCTGATCTATGAACAAAGCGGCAATTGTACAACGGACATACCAATAAAGATAAATTAAGTGAATTCAATGATTCAGAAGATTTATGAGACATGAAACAAGACTCAACGAACATTGACATGATATTAAAACTTTTCACAGATTCTCATCAAATGTATATAAATATAATTCGTACAAAATCCAACCATATGCGAGTTATATCAATTTATTATACCCTGTGTGATGCTGTCACATCCATTTTTGATATTACAACATTTTTTATATTGTGTGAAACGCTTTTGTGATGAACCAAATGCCAAAGTTATAAAACTCTGATTGAATTGACATTTTCGACCAACAACAAAAAATTCAATATTCATAATGAAAAATGTTCTCTTATCTTTGACATTTCGCTTTTCATTTTGATAACTCAATTTTATTAAAAATATGAAACTATATGTATATATCATTATAGCACAGTCTTATTAATTCCAATTCATTCGTAAATGTCATCAGAAAAGTCTTCTGAAATCCAAGGACTTTTCAATTATACGTTCTCTGTGTATATGTATAATTACAAAATACTTCTTCATAGTCGGCTGGATATTTATTTATTTATTTATTTATTCGGTTTTATTGTCTACCAAAACTG